CTATTTTACTTAGCTACTTACTTTAAGTTCTATAAGAAGAGGTTAAGTCTTATTTTGACTCTTTGCACTCTGTTCTTAATATCCCTAACAATAAGAATAAATCTACTAGACTTTTATACTTGTCTTTCCGCGAATTCCTTGTCGCCCCTCAAAAACAAGGAAAAAGCCTATTCTGGATAGACCAAACAGACACACAAGAAGCTAGCCACGTGTTGCCTCAAGCTGATGTCTGGATTATATGGCCTACATGAGAACATGTGCAACCTGTCAGGGCCTGGGGTCTTAGTAAGGGAAATCGGCAAGGCGACGATCGCTAGTAGCTTGACATCTGATATACAGTATGCATGTTGTTACTGAGTGCATCATCTCGTGCAGAGCAAGCAAACCGTTGTCGACGGAGATACGACGCAAGTCTTTCTCAGGAAGCATCTTCTCCATTGGATAGAAGCTATGAGTCTTATAGGTAATTCGTGGACTTGTTATCGCTTGATACTGAACCGGAAGGGGGGGTGTATCACCCACGAGTTCTACAGTGGTGGACGACATCGTAAGCTTCTTTCCTAGCTGCTGCCTGCACTATCGCAGCGGGAGGAGGGAGAGAGAGGAATAGATAAGAAGCTTGAGGTTTTTCTTTCTTGAACTTGAATTACTTCCTTCTACTATACATGGCATACCCCCCGTCTCATACTCTATGAGCTAAACCATAACGTCAGCACAAGGGTTACCCTGTGCACCGGCACAATACAAGGCCTTAAAGAGATTACAGACGTAAAATCTTCGCAAATGCAACTTCTTCAATTGCCGACTGACATAGATTGTAGCCATCTTCAACTAACATCTTGCCTTTTCTCCGCGATGCTGAGCAGTTTATAGACAATTCCTCCATATTGCTTGAAGATGCGCCTTTACAGATCTATCTTTCAGCATTTACATTCGCGTCAGAAAGTAGTATGATACGTCAAACGTTTATGAGCAAATTATCCGAGAAGGTTCGAATGGTATCTATGAAGGAAGCAGGCCGGGACGCTTCTAGCAACGTAATCAAGGGTCATTCCCGCTGGATTATAGGTGTGGCTTTTTCTTCTAGATAGTTAACTAGTCGCGTCGGCGTCTAGAGACAAGACAGTACGGCTGTGGGAGGTAGCGACAGGGACATGTCATAAGGTGTTAAAAGGTCATTCTAACTGGGTCACTGCGGTGACCTTCTCGCCAGACGGGCAGCTACTCGCATCAGCATCTTTAGATGACACAGCACGGCTGTGGGAAGCGACTACTGGGGTTTTCCATATCACGCTAAACAGTTTCCACGGACACATTCAGTCTATGAGCTTCTCGCCAGATGGGCAGGTATTTCACACAACCAAAGGCGACTTTGCCTTATGTCAAACTAACGGTGTTCCACCGCTCTCGAGTTCACAATCACAGCCTTGCTATTCTGTAGTACAGGATCATTGGATAATGCGCAATCGGCAACAATTTTTGTGGATCCCGCCAGAATGTCAAATCTTGGTGACTGTTGTATGCAAGGACATGGTTTGTTTGGGACTGTCATCCGGCCGTATATTTCTGCTCAAGATTCTCTATCCCCCTTGGCTGCCCCCTTTTTTCAATTATGGACACATAGTCTTTTTATTTCCCTTCTTGTTCTTCTCCTGGAGGCTGTTTACGTATCGTACTTGCAAGCTAGAAAACTATTCATGTTAGCAATCCAAATACCCAGATTACATATATATAGTTACCCCGTTTTGCATATACTATAGTCTCAAGAAGCAATAACACGTTTGAAATTTGCATTTTGGATAACAATGATCATACACGATACACACTTGCAATCCAACACTCTAGTAATCCAGCAAGGACAATGTGATTTCTATCGAAGAAATATAACGCGTGCTCTTATACTCCGTTCCCCCCCCCTTCCTCCAACGCCCTGTCAGTCTCCCAGAAATACCCACAAAGTACTTCGAAAAACAGACTACAACGCCTCAATCTTCGCATGCAGAACATTCAGCCTCGAAAATAACGCCTTGCTCTTTTCGTTCAAGAGAGCGAGAGAAGAGAGGAGCGTTCGGATCCGCGCGCTATCGGCGGATGGTGATGATGATGGTGTCGGAGGCGGAATGGCTTCGCTGGCCACAGGTGCTGGGGAGTGGGCTTCTTGAGTGGATTTGGGTTTGGGGGCTGGAAGCTGGTGCTGCTCGGTGGATGCCGAGGGCGAGGAAGCGGGAGTGTCGCGTGGGATGGGGGCGGCTGGGGGCGGTGGAGATGGCTGAGGAGATAGGGGTGAAGGAGATGCCTGCATCTCTGTGACTTCCTCTTCCTCTTCTTTCATGGTGGTAGTGGTGGTGTGCTCGTTTCCCTCTCCCTGAGAAACCGGCTCAATAGATTTCTCCTGGTGCGGCTCTGGAGCCGGATCCGCGTCCCGCATCTTGATTTCTCCGGTGTCAGCAGGAGAATCTGCTGGAGAGGGTTCACGCAATGGTATATTCTGCGCTACCTGGTTATCGTCTGGAGACGATTCCACGTCTGCCATTTCGACTTCTCCATTTCCGAGCTCTTCATGGTCTGAAAGCGCGTCGCTGAGTTCCTCGGAATTCTCATCGCTTGAGGATTGGTACGTGGGACCGAAAGCCCCCATGTTCATTTCTTCTCCGCTGCTTTCGTAGGAAGGGGAAGAGGGAGGGGGGTAGGACGAAGAGACGTTCATTTCGTTGTCGGAATCCCTTTCTTCGGGTGGGGAGCGCATGGTTGCGGACTGCGAAGATCCTGCTTCGGAGCCGCTGGCGTCGTTGGCTTGCTCGGCGTCGCCGCCGGCCATATGGTAGAGGTAGTCCTCGAAGTTGTCGAAATCTTCCTCGGCGCGGATAGACATTGTGGATTATGGGGTTTTGAAAGAGATCTTTGTTGTGTTGGAGGATTTGCAAGAAAAAGAGGAAGTTTGTGGTGTGGATTCTAGGATTTAAGCAAAAGTAGGGTCACGTTATTGCCATTGTACAGTGAGCTTGCTATTGTGGGTAGTGTAGACAATGTGGTGCACAATGGATAGTGTTTGCCTTTCTCTTGGTGAAGCGGTTTTCGTGCTCTCCTGCTATATTGTACTGTGCCTAAACACCTTCACGCTTCACCCTACGCGGGCCGACTACCGAGCGTGCAGATTACCCGCTCTGCATATGACTTGCATGGAAATGGCCGTCACCTCAGGTAGCCATGCAGTAACTGGACAAGACATGATTGTTAACCACGTGAGACATTACCCATCTAGTCAACAAACCGGTCTCAGGAATCAAAATCAGAGGGGTCGAGAATCATGCAGAATTGCATCATCCTCACATATCGCAGACAACAGTTCGTCCGATCCAGAGGGTGTGCAAAATGGGTCGATGGTACCGGGGCACGATGCTTTTGTCGAAGGATCTGTTGTTCAGCGAGGCCAAAACCCCATGTATGGTCCGATGTTGTACGATTGACGAAAGGATCATTGACCAAACTGGTTTTTCCCCAGTACTTTATAGCTCCCATCGGAAATCTGGACCGCTTGGCGGTTGGGTGTGACACGAGGTATACAGGGCTGTGAGCATCGTACGCAAAATCGTGTAGAAGATGAAGTGGTCTGGTAGAAGATGAAGTGGTTGTGCTATCGAGGAAGTCTGACGTTTAACTACACTGCGCAAGCTTTCGCTCTTGTGCTGACTGACCGCCTCACTAGTAGGGCCACCTACAATAGTATGTGGAAAGAGAAAGTGGTGTTCTCGAGTCGGAACGTTTCCTCGCGCTCTACTAGTGATTACCGGCTGACCTGCACGTCGGCCAGTTAGCCGGCCAGATGTCAGTCGGCCCTTGTGACTCCCGCCTGGATTCTAGACTCTAGGCAAAAGGGTTCCATTAGCGTTCCTAAGCAATCAGCGTACAGTCGGAGGGGCGTGCCACAGAACCGGCCAGAGTGCTGGAGTCGACATGAGTGTGCGCCAACCACCAATAGGACGCGTCGGCGGTGCAATGGCCCGGCACCCCAAGTTTCTTCTGTCACTTCAGCCACTTCTAGGAGGAGATCAGTCCGACCTTGTGGACGGCTGGCCATCGGCGCTATCGTCGACTTCGTGTGTTTGCAACATCGGCGATGCAGACAAAGAAACTACTGGGGGCCCAAGAGCATCGATCGATTGCGCTCGGCTCGGGCTGACGATGCTTCAACTGCCGATGCTCCGCACAGGGTGCAAATGCAGATTTCGACATACTCTACAACGATTATCGTTGCCTCGATCAACCACATACCATCCATCATCGCCAGTGTTTCAGCGCGCGCTACATCCACCGTTGACCCTGACCTTCCGGCCCGACTTGGGTCGCGCCACGTTGAGAACATTGGTTGCCGCCGCCGTCCCCACCCATCCTACATATGCAGACCATCTAGCACAGCAGTATCCCCAATGCTGAGCAAAACGACGTGTTTTAAACACCCCAATGCCGTCTGTGGGCCAACAGCGTGTTGCTTTCTTCCCAAAGGCTGACGCAGCTGTCCTGACGTCCAGACATGCTGCCCCCGTCTTGGCCGACCGTCCTACCACGACCGCTCCCATTCTTGACCCGGAGCATGCCGATATTCCTCTTGATGCCTGGACCCCGGAGGAAATGCAGTATGTGTATCCAGACAAAACCGATACATGTGCCCTTTCGCCCATTCCCGTCAAGGAGCAATGTCCTCGTCGATGCCATGGCGAACGCTACCTCTTCCCTGTGCTAGCGCCGAATGAGCGGCTGAGACTGACCATGCTCTTCTACTATACCCGTGGACTACTCGAGGATCAAGAGCTCATGTCTCGTTTGCAAGAAAAGGTTCTTCTCGCCCATGAAACGGTAGGCTGGGAGTTTGTCATTACTGGTCTCTTGAATCACAACACCTATACTCGTCTAGTCACGGTAAATCTCCCGCTGGCAATCTTGCCGCGCCGAGAAAGCACGTGTTCCCATACCATCAATCAAACGCCAGACGTAGGTTATTCTTGTACCTGCACATATCTCATGGCTAATTATTACAGAGCATATTCGCTTTGCACAATATGGTCCACGACTGGCGGTTTGAAAAGTCGCCCCACGTTGAAGTAGGAGGACTGCGAGCGTATGCAGGCGTACCATTAAAGTTCGAAACCGAGTTTGGCCAACACGTGGCTTTCGGCTCTCTCTGTGTTGCCTCAAACTCTTCCGAAGAGCTCCTTTCTCCAGTCGTGCAGCAGTCCTTGATTCGTCTCGCGGATGGTATTGTTTCCGACATAGTTCACAGCGCAAGGACCAGACGTCAAAGAGAACGTAGGCGCATGCTGGAGCTGGTTTGTGATGCCCAGCGCCACTGTGATGAGCACGCCGATATGGAGCAAGAAATTCCGAAAATAGTCCAAGAAATTTACCCAGGCATGGAAGTGGTTATCAGGAAAACGACGGATGGCTGCATCTCACTTGAGAGCGGTACAACCTTTTCCACCTGCGAGCTCGAACACGGTCTTTGGGAAGATACGGATTACTTTGATTACGCCGTAAAGCACCTAAATCACCTAGACATGACGGCGCCTCGGGCAATACGCGCGATTGCAGCTCAATGCGCTAGCCAGACTGTGCCGACATTTCTTGTTGTGGCTTGCAACGACTTGAAGAGAATCTTCGATGACGTCGATTCTTGGTTCTTGCAAGCATGTGCTGTAAGTAGTTGTGGAAAACAAACGATGTATTTGGCAACAGCTGATCCCAGACCCCGAAATAGATGGTTCTGTGCCGCTTCTGGCAGAATCGTGCACTTCAAGAGGCACTTGCAGTCAAGGAATCTTTCCTCCGTGGCATTACACATCAACTCCGAACTCCGATACACGGCATTCTCGGTTCTGCTGAGCTTCTGACAGAAGCTCTCAAGACGCGAAATGCTACCCATCTATCCCCTGCATGTCCGCCAGCTACGAAACCTGAAACAGAGCAGCTAGATCTTTGTACCTACGTTCAGACAATCAGGACCTCGGCCAAGGAGCTCATTTCAACTGTGAACAGTTTGATAAAACTGAACCAGTGGGCGGATATTGCCCAAGCGGAGCGAGTCATGGCACTTCACAGGGTTTCCGACATCGAGGCTGCCCTACTCCACGAGGTTTTGATGGGGTTGCCCGATGATTTATCTATCCGGCCATCTATCATGATATCGCATCACTTTCCAAAGAGCTGCGACATGCTGGTGATTGATATTCGTGTTTTCCTAGACTGCATCCAGCCGCTCGTGGCCCTTGCCGCCCAACAGTCTGCTGGTGGAGTTGTAGCAGTGACGTTGACAGTGGAAGAAGATTACCAATCTCTCGCAGTCGATATCTACTATACCAGACTCGACGGGGCCAGGTCTCCCTCCGAATCAATGACTGACATTTATACCAAGGATGACTTTACTACGGCTGAATCTGCGTTGGGCTTAACTATAGCGTGTAAGGCAGCAGCACTTCTCAATGGAGAGGTCGCAGTGCTGTCCTCAAAGCATGATTCGAGCTCATACTATAGAACTACCTTCAACAACCCGATCTGTGCAAGTTCTCTTTCACCACCATTCCCGGTCAACAATGGGACTGCTCGACTCCCCCAGAAATTCTACCACCTCGCATCAGAATCGCCAATGTCGTCGCTAGGGCATCATTTCAGTCACTGGCTTTCGAATACTGGTTGGTTAGAGTCCAAGGAAAAAAGCGAGAGTCTTGTGATTGTGGACTACCATTCGGATCTTGTTCAATTTTATCGGCAATTGGCGAGTGTCGGTACTGAACAAGTCATTATTTGTCTTGTTCCTGAAAATGCGACTTTCCTTGACTTTCAGAACAAACGAGTAAGACGGCAAGAAAACGCGATATACATTCAGGGACCTTTCTTAACTGAGCAGTTATTACAAGCAATGGAGCTTGTAACTGCAATTTTGGTCGAATCCAGGCGGCCGAGCCTCAAACTCAAAGAATACCCGTATTGCACGGTTGTTGCCGAGCCTAAGCTTGTACCGCCCCCTCAAGTTACCGCTGCTCAAACAGAAAAATTGGTAAGGCAGGGCTCCATATTCCCCAAGAAGACGCAAACACAGCTTACAGAGTCGTTACAAACTTTGAGGTTACAATCCAAGCCTTCGTTACCTGCCGGAAAACTGGTTACAAATTCGAATAAGCCCCGGGCCTTGCTCGTTGACGACAACACGGTCAACCTCCGCTTGTTGCAAATGTATTGCGACCGTCGCGGTATTCTATATCAAATAGCGAAAGATGGGCTTCAAGCCGTCAAGATCTTCTCCGAAGCAGTCATCACCAGATACGATCCTCTCCTGCAACGAGAGGTATCTGCGACAGCGTTCGACCTGATTCTCATGGATCTGCAGATGCCAGAATGTGATGGAATCGATGCAACTCGGCAGATCCGGCGATTGGAGGAGGATAATAAATGGGAAAAGAGTGTCTTGTTCATTGTCACAGGCCAAGATTCTCCCACTGATCGCAAGAATGCAGAGAGAGCTGGAGCTGATGAGTTTTTGACGAAGCCACTGGGACCAAAAGTGCTCGATCAATGGGTTAAGAAATGGTACCCGGAAGCCGGGATATGACCGAAGTACGGATCTCAATATAACACCGATTTCCAGGACCCGCCAACAAATTTGGAATACGCTGGGCCATGGAAGATGCTCAATGCCCTGCTGTATAGGTCTCTTGTCAGAAGATTGGACCAGGGGCAAGGGCTTCCCCGCACCAGTTTAACGGCTTAAAATCTAACCAACTCAACTCTGGGATGATAAAGCCATCTAATAGTTTTTCCACTACTGAGCATTTTTATGCCTCTGTTACCATCATGTATTAATTACTATGGGTTTTATAGTTGGAATGCACAAGGGGGGGTTAGTAGGCATAATATGTCTTGCCAGCACTACATAGTCTCAAAAGACATACTTTCGAACCGTTGGCAAGCTCCGCTAACGACGCCACACTAACCTGTGTCTGAGCTAGGAGATTTAATCGTGTCACGTAATTCCAGATGTGTTTGCACTTGTAACAATTATATCCAATCTCTCGCCCTCTCCAACCATACCACAGCATTCTGCCAAGATCAATGGCTAGCATCGGCCAATGACGTCCCTAGACACCGTTCTCTAACCTCCAGCATCCTAGACATAACCTTGTCACTCCTTCACCATGGCACTCTCATGGGTCGCATACACATGCATCGCAATCCTCCTCGCCTCCGTCTACATCCGCAAGCGCCTAAACAATCACACATCCCAATTGGAGCGTGATGCGCAATCCGAGAAACCTGGTCGCCCGCGCCACAACGATGGGTCAACTGCATCTGCGCGCCAACTTCGCGGCAGACTCGTCGCTACCATCCCACATATTACCATCGCACCGGAAAATGTAAATGAATTCGAAAAATTAATGAGTGCGTATTGGGACCAGAAAGCGCGTGAGGTCCAGCCTTCGTGTGTGGTGCGGCCACGTAATGTATGGGAGTTAGCGCAGGCTGTTAAGATACTCAGTCAGGAATTCGATCGACGGATTCGGCAGAGTGGGGATTCAAGAGAGGGGCTGGAGCCGATCTTTGCGGTGCGAGGGGGAGGTCATAGTCCCGTTGCTTTTGCATCGAGTATTCAAGGTGGGGTACTTCTTGATCTTAGTCTCTTTGACAAGGTTGTCCTTGCAGAAGATAAAAAGAGTGTGGCGATTGGTGCTGGATGCCGATGGATCGATGTTTATGCAGCGCTAGAGAAAGATAGTCTTGCGGTTGTGGGAGGAAGGAACTCTGCTGTGGGTGTAGCAGGATTGACGCTTGGAGGGGGTTTATCGTTTTTCTCGCCTCGGTATGGGTTTGTGTGCAGCAATGTTGTTGAGTATGAAGCGGTTCTCGCGGATGGATCGATTGTCACAGCGGATCAGCACAATAATACGGATCTTTGGCGCGCACTCAAAGGAGGCGGAAACAATTTCGGCATCGCTACTCGATTCACTGTTCGTACATTTCCATGTATGAATGTCTGGAGCGGATTCGTCTACTACTCTTCTTGGAAACACCCAGAGATACTCTCTGCATTCCACTCCTTCGTCGCGCGCACCACATCCGGCGAAACAAACCAGAGCTTCGATCCCCACGCCGCTGGTCCATTGGCCTGCTTTACCTATCTCCAGTCCTACGGCATCCAAGGCATCGCCGTGAACCTTGTGCATACGTCACCAGATCTCAAGAGAAAAGCATGGCCAAGCACTTGGCTCAGTTCTGGTTTCAAAAGCACATGGCGATTCTGGAGTACGTGTAAAGTGCGGACGTTGATTGAAGCGACAGACGAATTGAATGCCTTGAATCCACCGCAGCGCCGCCAGGAATTCGCTACTACGACGATTAAAAACGATGTCGACACATTGACGGCGACACATACGGTATATCACAATGCTATCCAGAAAATCCGACAACATAATATCAAGGGCATGAGCTGGACACTTGTGCTTCAGCCACTACTTTCTACCTGGACATGCAAGGGCGATGCTAATCCTATGGGACTTGACAATAAAGACGAAGAAGCCTTAGTCATTATAAGTTTTACAGTAAACTGGGCACTGAGCAAAGACGATGGGATTGTGGAAGACATTACGAGAGCTGCGATTGAACAGATAGATGCGTATGCCCAAAAAAGGGGGACACAGCATAAATACCGATACATGAACTACTGTGCAAAATGGCAGAAGCCGTTTGACGGATACGGAGAAGAAAACCTGGAATATCTTCAACGCGTTAGAAAAGAAGTTGATCCCGAGGGCTTATTCCAACATGGATGCATTGGAGGATTTAAACTCGGCATGTAAAGCCAATACCATGTAGTACTCTAGTAGCGAACCCATTTCACCGCATTCGATATTCAAGACTACTCCATACACCACTCACACACTGCCCTCATACCCAATCCATCCATCTAGCAACTTAACAGGTGCCGCTAGCACAGCACGTCGGCGAATCTGGCGAACACCCATTCTCATCACAATTGCACGTGTCCGTCTGCGCATCCTCGGGATCCGAATCCGGCCAGTCTTGATTCGTGGCGTCGTCGTCGCGCTCATTGCGGGGGCCGGAGAAGGCTTTGCCGCAGAGTTCTTCGAAGGAAATATGCTGTTTGCGTGTGTAAGACATTAGCAAAACGAGCTTGGGGAAAGTTGGAAGGAAGGGGAAGGGGGGGAGCGGGACTTACGAGTGCATACCACACGTACGTATCTGCGTTTGTGAGGGTTTTGGCGCGTTCGTTGACGTCGTCGTTTACGGCGAGGGCGCGGCATTCTTTTGGGTAGAGAGATGGTTAGTAACAACGGACACGGAAAGCAGGTGTGGTGGACAGGTTCTCTCTTACGAAAAGCATCGTATTTCCAGTCTGTAATTTGCACACCGAGGGCTTCTTGGCCGATTTTGGGGTAGTGCCTGTGTTGTGTGAAAGAAAGCATTAGTAAATCGTTTTCTTGGGAAGAAAAAAAGGTTGGAGTGACGCAGAGGGAATGACTTACATAAACTCATGCAACACATTCGATCCGATAAAGTTCTTTGACCACGTCGCAGTGCTGACTTGCCCACTAAGTTTACTGCAATCGTCGGCGAGCAGAGTAGCGAGATTGGCTCTGCTCCAGACCTTGTCGCAAAAATGCATGCCGGGCTTCTTGTCGCCGTGACGTTTGAAATACGCAGTCCCCGTCTTGCCGTCCTGTTCCAACGAGCAGAATGGGGTTTGACCATCTGCATTGGGTGCCTGGCCTGCTTTTGGCTTCCAGTAGTCCGTGTCGTCGACGATGACGTCGCCGTTGACATCGGCGCCTGTGCCGTCGGTGTTTTGGCCAACAAAGTTCTTGTAGACCTGTCTGATCTGCTCGCGGCCGTTGGCATCGGAGTGCTGGTCGCCAAACCAGTATTCGAGCTTGTCGAGGTGCTTTTCGTCGTCCATTTTCTCGAGCGTTTTGGCGGCAATGGTGATAGCGTCTTTGAGGCCTTGGGTCAGCTTGTCTTTGTGGTCTTGATCTGTGACTGCGTCGAGATTGTATAGGGCTCGCTTGACGGCCCAGGCAGAGTTCAGACTGGTGAATTGGAAGCCTCTGGAGGGAGATTAGCGGGGATCTCCTTTTGTTCATCCTCGATAATCGGAAATGTTTGGTTAGTTTGAGATGGTGGAAAATGTCTCTTACCCACGAGGGTGGGCTTGAACAACGGCACAAGCAGCCGCTACTACAAGCAGGTGTTTACTGAAGCCAACCATGATGAGGTTAAACAAGGGAAAAGGGTTTTTAATCTACTGAATTGATCTTATGAATTTGCGAAGTGATGCTCAAACAATGTTGGACTGGACAGGTTTAAATACACAGAGTAGTCTCAACACGACGACAGTATCTCTTCCCATTCTGGAGGTAAACATCCTGGATTCTATTGAAGGGATCGATGTTGGTGGTACGACTGGCCCCACAGCTGAAGGCTGAGTAGTATCCAAAGGACACAAGGAAGGTCTCTTGACCTAGGACTGTAGGAGGCCTGATAATAGTATGCTCAGAGTTATGGGAAAGTTCGCTCGATTTGGACAATGCCATGCAACTTTCTCTCAAAGAGTATCGGGCGGCCAGGAAGTGACTCGGGCTCTCCCGAAGAGAAACATCTACTGACGTAGGTAGGCTGTTCTCTGAATCATGTCTCATTTTGAACACAGAGAAATTGAGATAGGAGTTATGGATCAAGGATGTATGTGAACTTTATTTGAGATTTCGGTGTCCGAAACTCAATAGACAAAGAGGAGTGTTTCTCTCACATCCAAGGGCATAACTAATGAATGTTTAGACTAAATAGCTTGCGATAGAGTCCATGCTGTATAGATTTCATTGCTCGCTCATAAGGTTGTTGACGAATGAGTATAGATCTGAAATCTAGTTATTAGCATTGGCTATTCGGAATGATCGGGTATATCGTAAGTCCAAGTATATCTTACTGTTAAGCAGGTTTAATTTTAAGACATTATAAACGGGAGTTGGGTTAGGTGGCTGAATGATGGCTGTAGACTCTTCCTTTCAGGATTAGTGTTAATCCTGTGTGGGGTTCAACTGTAACCTGTGGCTGTGAAGGATGCGCAAATAATTCCGATCATCTATATATGGCGATTTGTAACGGACATAATTGGGGAGTTGCGATTGGACGTCGAGCCGTTATTCAATTCTAATAGTGCCAAAAGGCTTGTTTGCGTGACTTTGACTCGAGTAGAGCATGCGCGGCAAGAACCCCCGTCATTCTTACACATGGTATTGTGATTGTGGAAACCAGAATACGATGTTGGTATATGCGTATGGGGCGAAGAAGGAATTCATTAAGGAATGGTGTGTCACAAAAACCCGTTTTCTGCGATTATTAGGCCAACCCATATCACGTGAATGGTTAAGATCTGCGAGGAAATAAGCCCCGAATCAGGTGAGAATAGTTGTCTGCCTTGCGCCTCGTTTCAGCCTACTACAAAGGGGCCAGAAAGGTTCCTACTTCAACCCGATTGGCCAGGCTGAAAGTTGCATATGACGTAGCTCGCTGATGAGGCAACGCTCGCGTAACTCTACCATATCAGGTTGTTGCGACCTAATTAGAAACCTTTTTTATTTGCTTCGTACGATACTAAGGAGTACGTGATCTCGAGTGAATTCGGACATCAAACAAACCAACCTGCACCTTTCAATCAAGCACCTGAACACTTCACAACATGGCCAACACCAGCCCAACCATATCGTTGTATCTAAACGGTAATCTTTCCTTCCAACTTGGCCAAAAAGGCACCTCAGGCACTATACCTACTCTGCAGGTTCAGATGCACGATGCCTCGGATGCTGCTACGCTAGTCATCCCAGGTTATCAGTCATCGACCAATACCTTCGATCCTCTTCTCGCCTTACAAGGAGGCCTGTTTGACCTCTTCGACGTAGACACGGATTCGCAGATCTCCGTACCTTCTAGCGACGAGGAACCTGGTAGACTATTCGTCGAAGCTGGAGCGCGAAACCGATGGTTCGATCTCAAAATCGATACGCATGAGGACTTCTGGACACAACTTCTCACGCCGGGTCATAAGTATGAGATACGTTGGCGGAATGATGGAAACTTCCCATGGGCATATCGTGGAGATAGTCAACAAGAGTCTCCTGAACGCCTGCCAGTGCGCCTCCTGCCACGGCCTATCGAGCTCAATGTATTTGATAATGCTGCATCACCACTGCAGCTTTCGATCTCACTGCAACCAACAGCGGATACTTGCCATCTAAGTGGCGAGCCACGCTTCGGCCTCAAGCTTCAAGTTGTGTCGCATGATGAGAAGACCATTACAGTGTGCTTGCACAAGACACCACTCAGAGAGCTTCACGGATTGGGGGAAATCGCGCACGTCGTTGATGAGGACGGCGAAGAGGTGGAGTGGCCGTACGGTATAGGTTGTTTTGACGGCAGAGAGCCTTTCCCTTCTGACAATATGTTCGAGGAGCTTAAGCCCAACGTGCCATACGAGAAGACGTTTTGGCTCGAAAAGTTGGACAAGGAGACTTCGAATGGAGGAGAGCTAGAGGAGCTAGAAAGTGGCCAATCATATACTGGGAAGGGCAGTAAGATATTGCTTGGGGCTTTTTCGAAGTGGAGACGAGGAACAAAGGAGGAGCTGCTGGTTGGCGAGGAGAAAGACAAGGAAGCAAGATGGAGAGCGAGTAGTGAGCAGATGCTTCTTGACATCTCGGATCCGTTCAAGTTCAAAGCGATCTAGACTGCGGAGTTCCTACACGATGCGATTGCTAGATGAAAATTCGAGGTATCTTTTTTCAACCGTGCACTCACTTGGACATTTAGCGCATGAACGGACTCAGTATTGATTGTTAGAGTAGATACTCAGAATATCAGACTCTCTCATGATGTTTCTCTACAAGACTAGAGCTAATGGGGTGGGTCTTGCGTAATGCAACGTCGAGGAAAAAGGAATTTTCACGTGCATTGGTGGCGCACGTCTGCCGCTCTCGCCCGCACATGCAGCCACAGGCGATGCCCGCGCTGACGCTCACCACCAGACTATGCTTGAGTAATAGCAACTGCCGACACCCCCTCGTATTCTGTACATACTTTCACCTTTGGCAAGCCACCGGATTTTCTCTAAAGGAGCTGGTTATTGAAGTATATTTTTGTGAACCTTTTCACTCCGAAGGCGCGCCGGCGCTTGCACAGCCGCGGCTCGGCCTTACAGGGTAGAGTTTCGGGCGGTCTTTTCCAATATAGGTTTTCTATATACATGTTTACTTCACGGCAAGACGGCCTTATTCATAGAGGCTTCTTGCCGATGAACGGAGAAGGATGCTCATAGGTCATCGAAGGAGCAAAATGGGCAGTGTAGTCGCCATCCTTTTGACTAAACCGGAAAGCTACCCTAGCCGCCAGCCCACGGGGTCCGCGTGCATCCGGATCGTGTTGACGTGACTGGGGGCTAGCTGAAGAATGAGGGTGGAAAGGCATTGTTATCTCCATGTTATGAAGTCAAGCCAGTAATAGGCTTCAGTGGCTAAGAGTAAGAATTTATACACAGCTGCTGGTATGGAGTCAGCGATCTTCAGACTAGATGCGGGAAAGTCGCCATTTGGTTGGCCAGCCGTCCTGACTGTGCCGATCTTGTTGGCATGTTGAGACGAGGACTACCGAACAAAAGCCGTAGGTGTTGCGAGGGCTGTCGCTGCTCATCCATCTCGTGGCGACGGTACTGCTGCATGGACACGCAATAACGGCCCACGTAGTAGCTTCCTCTTAACCCATTCGGACGGGCCAATATCGTGATGGCGGCACATCCACCATAGAAAGCCCGGACATGTGGAGGGGGTGGGAGTAATGAATGTGTGAAGGACTCAAGTTGGAATAGATGAGTAGATCCAAGTCCACAATTGTGTCTCGAGTTGGCAGGAATCTGCGAATGGGTGTGAACCTGGGGACTGTGTGTATCATAGTCGCGCGTCTAGCACATGAGAAGCCAACACGTCCCTCTGCGTCGCGTGAAGTGGGTGGCATCACTCGATAGGAAATAGAGTTTGAACCAAGAGCCGCATGTTCTAGAGTGTCCACACTAAAGCGGGGTAATGATACCTTGGACGGCAGAGCAACTGGAGACACACACAAGTCATTGTACGAGGCCGTGCTATCACGTGGCCGGCAGCCGACTTCACCGACTATTCCAACGACGGGGATGGAGCTCTGAATGGATGGGAAGATTTTCAGCCCACGGCCTAAGGACTGAATATGTGGGACCGAAGGCATGGCTTACACTCGGAGCATACTGCCGCTGCAATGCATAGCAAGTGTACCAGGACGGAGAGATCGCCTGTCGATGTTGATGTGCTGACAGACATAGATACATAGGTGTACGTAGGGGAAGCGCAGAAGATGCCGAGTGGGATGCGTGGAGGCCAGGACGTGGGCGTGATAGCACCAGGCATAGCCAGCCCAGGGCTCCGGACAGGCGCAAGTTGAGGAACCAAAGTGGCTGGTCTTGCCTAGTGATACTTGATGCGAACTAGTGGATATTGCGGGATTTGCAGATCGTCAGAGGAATGCAGTTTTAGCGCAGTTGGAGTGGGCATTCGATCTGCTATCACTACACGTGTCTGGCCGGGACCCTGCCAAGCCGCTAAGCATACAAGTGGCTGACTCGACATCCTACACCCTACATCGTACTACCTGCACTGCGCAGGGCCTGCGCCAGTAGCCACAACCACAACAACAAACAACCTCATGGACCCGACCTCGGCGACGGACATGGTCTCTCGTCTTCCTATTGCACAGCAAACCCTCAGCCAACAGCTAGTCCGCCTAGCAGGATGCTCCCCACGCCGCTAGCTTGCACGCGTCCGCCCACACTGTCCAACCACGCTAATCCAAGCCACTTCCGGACGTCCAGGACTTTCAATCTACTCGCGTACACGGCTGCCGACGTTTGTGACGCCCCAAGAAGCACGACTTCGAGTTGTTGATCGAGCGCTATGCTGATGCTGCACGGCCAGCGCAGCACGCACACTACTACCCCTCAAGCCTCATTTGGCCTCCACTTGCTACTGGCGGATGCTTACCTAGCAACACCCAAGTGAGTAAGCCGTACAAGAATTTCCGGAAACGCACCGTCCATATGCACGCCCATCTGGCGTGGCACACCAGCAGGATCGGGCGACTACTGCCGCCTGCCTACGCCTGTTTGTGGCAAGCGAGCCGTGCCGAACGGGTGCAAGCAAATGCCTGGCTTGAGGTCACTACTTTGCAGCTCGTCGCTTTGCCGAGCGACCATCGCTGACGACAACTAAAATACGCAGCGGGGTGCGGTGTGGATACTCGCCACTGCCTCTGCTGGTAGTTACATCGTCCTTTGCCTCGGTGCGCGACTGCAGTGAAGTTAGCCAAAAGCCACACTTTGGACTCGTCAGAACCGAGCCCGACATCGATCGGGGTATCCGCTTGGATTCTGCCATACCCTGTCCTGAGACTCTTCTACATTCGTACGTAAAAATTCGACTGGCAACGCTTCCAGCCACAATCAATGCGTGCATGGTGTGCCGTAGTGTTCCGCCTTGGATACGATCCCACCACCTCGGCCGGCGCATCTCCTGTATTCGGAAGCCAGTGCCATCCATGAACACAGTCCTATTCAAGCCACTTAGCCGAAGGAACAGCAAGTTGGGCCTGGACGTCATGTTGACCAGTGTAGAAAATACCGAGAGGAAGTCACCAGTCATGCATTAGCTACGTATTGGGAAAACTATGGTAGGTCTGTGTAAGTGTCTATGCATAATACTACTTCTCCACAGGATCGACCAGCTGTCCACACTTCCGGAAAAGTTTCCCGCCGTTCCATCGTCTTTCTATGTTATTTCATGCATAGCTTTGCAGAGTTAATCTATGAGATGCATCAGTAACGAGCTTTCAATTATCTCAGTAGCTAGTTTCTAGGCTGACAGTTCATCGTTATCGAACACATTAAAACCCTGGCAAGAACAAGCAATTTGGTGATACAACGACGGGCATTTACTCAACTCTTCTTTGATGCGTACATGACAATCTGACGAGTCCATTCATGTGCTTGATGATCGTCGAGCCTAATGTGGTATTGCGGCATGGCGGCAGCATCACGGCGTTGTCGTGCAGACTGCAGGTGATGACAGTCGGGTCGCCATACCCACGCTTGACGACCCCACTTCAAGCCGAGAGCAGCCACCTCTACATGTACTTGCACTGATGTGTGAGCCGGACGGGAAGCCCAACGAATAGGCACCACGTTTGTGCAAGCGGTGGGGTCGTAGGGACGCACTGATGAAGAATGCAACACTCGAGAGCCGAGACGCAGCCACACTGCGTTTGTCGAGAATGACTAGACCGAAATCCGGTAATCGATATTTTTGCTACATAATACATTTCCCTCATGCCTTGGGCCAATAGGTCCATATCGCACCGTTTTTTGACGTGCGCTACCACACCGCATCACCCCAGCTGCTAAGCCTGCGGCATGATCACGGGTTCTTAACAGGCGTTGTCCCTCTAGTCTACCAGGCTTTTAAGTATCTCCTTGTACCCCAAACATCATTCCGTTGCGTGTCGGTAACATGCAGGAGCCAAATATGTTCCACAATATGTCTGGTCTTTCTCTCGAAGACCAAACCTTGGTCTCTAAATTTGGATACGGCCCAAGACTCACTGTTCCATCCGAGACAGTACACGAAGCCTTTGAGCGCATTGTTGACGAGCATCCTACCGTCGTGGCCGCGGTTCATCAAGGTCAAAGCATTACTTACCTACAGCTGGACCTCGCTGCCAACCGTCTCGCACATCATCTCATCAGCTCGGGCCTTCGCCCAAGACAAAGAGTATGTCTAGTCGTTCAGAGATCGATAGAGATGCTCATTGGCTTCCTGGCGATACTGAAAGCCGGTTGTCAGTATGTTCCAATCGACGGGGGTGTTGCTTCCGACCAGGCCCTGCAACACATCTTCGAAGATACAGAGGCGAGATTCATCCTATGCCTTCCAAGGTATTGGGACAAAGTCAAGCAGTTCGCAAGCCCAGACGCTATCGTCCTAGAATTGAACATGAACACTGGAGCCTTCTACTCTCCCTCAAGACCGGGTGTTCAGGTCACCGCGGAAGATGGTCTCTACGCCATGTACACATCAGGTAAGTACTATCATGGGTACGGAATCGATCACTCGCTAACAGCTATCAAAGGGAGCACTGGCGTACCTAAAGGCGTCGATGTCAAACACGGCACCAAGACTAGCGCTCTCCTTTCAGAGCCGGGGAAGCTGGGAATTACAATTGGCTCAAAGGTTGGACAGGTCTTGAGCATCTCTTTTGCTATGGGTAATTTATACACTGCTTGAGAAAAAGGACCCTTTTTCTAAACGTAGTACAGGAGCATGGGAGATGTTGGCCTCTTTGATGAACGGAGGAACATTATACCTCCGGGGATCCGACTGGGAGGCGACACTGAAGCAGGTTGGTGCAAACAGCCACTACTGCTAGCCAATTCCCAACTAATAGCGTTGCAGATCGACACGTTAATATGTACCCCGTCCATCCTGTCCAAATACGACCAACAGAGCTTTCCCAACATCAAAGTGCTCGCCGTAGCAGGCGAGGCATGTCCACAGGCGTGAGTGCATCACATGTGCTAGAAACGGCGAGTGTACTAACACATCCTTAGTCTCGCCGATGACTGGGCTCAAGGCAGATCATTCTATAATTTGCTTGGCTCCACGGAGACCTTCTTACTGTCTTCACATCGACATGTCAAGGGCAAGCACTTGTCCATCGGCCGGCCACTACCAAATGTGTCATGTTATGTCCTTGATGACAGAGGAGAGCCCGTGCCAGTAGGGCAAAAAGGAACACTGTGGGTTGGGGGCAGGGGCATAGCAAAAGGCTACATCAATTTGCCCTTGACTACTGCAGAGAAGTTCCAGCTCGACAAATTCGCAAACGACGGGTGAGTAAGATGCCGGCTATCTTAGAATGCGCTGACAGTTATCCAGTTCCGTGATGTACAACTTTGGGAACATTGTTTGCTGGAGAGCCGACGGCTCGTTAGACTCATTTGGTCGAATGGATGACCAAGTAAAGATCAAGGTTTGTCCAAGACTACAACTATGTTTCCAGGAATCTTGCTGACCTTTCTAGGGATTCCGTGTCGAACTTGACGGCGTTACCTCCGTTATTGAGGTAAATATTTCTTAGGCTGAATTATTACGACTTGCTAACAATCTTCTGTAGCAATTTTCTGGAGTCACACGAGGTGCATCTTTGGTCATTGATGGAGTCCTTCATGGCTTCTACGCATCCTCCACCCCCGTCGATGAGCGAGAACTCGACACCTTCCTCCGAAAACAACTGCCTTACTATTCCGTGCCGGAACGATGGTTTCGCGTTGACGACGTGCCGTTGAACGCCAACGGAAAAGTTGACAAGGCACAACTTATAGCACTGGCTGCAGCAACAATTTCTCCCAAGGCAGAAGTCGAAATCACAAAGAAGGGGCATATGCGAATGGACTCGGGCGTTGATGTCTCAGATGAGCCTAGGAAGGTCGAAGCTCCCCTTGCCGCCATCATACATGACAGCCCACGAGCTTCGTCACGCGATATTGATCTCGAAAAAGGTTTCATAACTAAGAGTGTTGAGCGTCGTTCGGGAACGGAAAGCCCTGGGCCATTCGAGATACTAACTGCGTTGCCGCAACCCACATTGTCGAACACACACGCCTGGGTACGACATCGCTGTTTGATTGCATATCGCTGGCTGCTCCTCCCCGTTGTCCTTACCAACATTGGAGTCGCATGCTGGCTTCTTTACGACAACATCAAGCAACACACATACCCGCTCTCGGCGGTCGCAAACGCAACTGCGGCGAACCTCTGCGCTGCGATCTTGATCCGATCGGAGCCAGTCATCAACCTGTTGTTCAAAGTTTTTTCATCGGTTCCCACGTGGGTGCCTCTTAGGATACGGTGCATATGCGCAAATGTTTTCCACATTGGCGGTATACACGTGGGATGCGCTATTGCCGCGCTTATATGGTTCGTCATATTTGTCATCGGTGCGAGCTTGGAGATGGCAAAGAGTGTGGATGAAAGAGCCATGTCAGTAGCGCCGGCGGTACTGTCCTACTTCATCATGTTCTTGCTGCTTACAATGACCGCGATGTCGCACCCGTACCTCCGGAACCGGTACCACGATTTATGGGAGGGCTTGCATCGATTTGGTGGATGGACAGTATTGATCCTCTACTGGGTGCTCATCGGACTGTCCACCGCAGATATGGGTCGTCAAGTGGGATACTCGACGTCGGAGGCCTACCTCAGGAATCCGTCGCTATGGCTCATCGCAGTCGCTACCTGCGCGATCATCTTCCCGTGGCTGTTTCTCCGACGTGTTCCTGTCATACCCGAAGTTCTTTCTTCTCATGCGGTCCGGTTACATTTTAATTCGAACCTTGGGCCAGGCAAAGGCATACGTCTTGCGCAACACCCACTTGGAGACTGGCATGGCTTTGCAACAATTACCAATGGACCGAACAACGGCGGGTACTCTGTGATTGTTAGTCGGGCTGGCGATTTTACAGGACACATGATCGACACTGCACCAACGCATATATGGAGACGCGGAATCCCCACTTCGGGAGTGCTCCGTATTGCAACATTGTTCAAGAGTGTGGTTGTGGTAGCTACGGGGTCCGGCATCGGCCCATGTCTCTCTATTTTTCCGTATAAGCACATTGCCATGCGCATTCTCTGGACAGCGCCCAACCACGAGGCAACGTTTGGAAAGGCAATGGTCGAGGATGTACTCCAGAGGGACCCCAAAGCCGTCATTCACAACACGCGCATGTCTGGAAAGCCGGATATGAGTCTGTTGACGTATAACCTCTACAAGGAGAGCGGGGCGGAGGCGGTGCTAGTGATTAGCAACAAACGGTTCACACAACAGATTGTGTTTGACATGGAGAAGAGGGGGATACCGGCGTACGGGGCGATATTTGATTCTTAGGCTTGCATTGGGCCTACGCGCTAGACGAGACGACACACACGACTTGACGATTTCCGAGTCATGATGTTATGAGTTACATGTATGTACATATTGAATGAACGATGTTCCATGTCCAAAGTAGTCCTGGCACGTTGCCTCTTTGCGAAGGTGCAAGCAGAAGCAGTAGCCCGGTGGGGTTCTCCGCTGCTGCTGGACACGTGAGCAGTCTTGGCAGCTGGGCAATCCGACACGCACTCCAACTCCCAGCATGGCCGTTGCCTACTTCCTGCCTTGGGTGCGCATCATTTCCGTACGCCATCGAGATGCCCGAGCCTGCGTCGCTGAGAAAAGAAAGAAAGAAATCAAGCGTCGGATGCCCCGGTGCCCCTGAGGCTGCCCAGCTGGAGACACCTTCCGTTCACATGGGCTGCTCCGCAGTTCCTTTCCTTGGTTCGGCGTCATCTTAGACGACGACATATCATGAAAACCACTCCGGCGGCTTCTTCGCATTAACCTATAAAGGCTGCTCGACTATGGCGTCACTCGATTGGAACGCCAAGTCGCAGACAACCGCCCTATGCGTTAGCAGCTGCGTATCACCATTCAAGCTTTGCCCCGAAACATTTGCTTTTGTGTCGCTCTCCAATCTATCTTATCAAACAAAGCAGCTCATACGGGCAGGCCAGCCCTGGTCACGATGCACAGCACGATCTACTTGATCCTCCCGGGCAGGTGCATAAGGGGAGGCCTACGGAGGATTGACCAAAGAAGAAGGAGATGTTGCTAGCGCCCCCGGCCAATTCGCAAAGCCGCCCAATCACGGACTTGCCACCCTATCCCCACGCCGGCGCAACCAGGCTTAACGATGTATTATCACACCCGTTAGAAGAAGGTCGCTCATCATGCTATGGGGCCGCACAGAATGTATAAGGCGGCTTCCTTGCTGCAATAACCAGTCCGCCAGAGGTACTTCGTTCTTTCGCTTTCACAACATCCCTCATTCTTTCTCCAAATACATCTCAAGATGAAGTACTCTCTCGCCGCAGCCCTGATTCTCCAGGGTACAACTGTACTTGGCAGCCTTCTTCCCGTTCACTTCAAGGCACCCAGCCCTTCCCACTTCCTCGACATTGTTAACAATGGCACATACGATCTGGGCTGCCGACCAAAGGCTGTCCCGCATGAGGACGGCCATTTTGAGCTTCATGCTCTCTTGACTGAAGAGCAAATTGCCCACCTGGAAAGGGAATACGAGCGCTCGGGAGAGATCTCTCTCCACCGACGTGACCTCAGCAAGAGGGCTGCCGACGCACCAATCGGCACTGGTGACAGGTGGCAGGGTGGTGCCGTCACACCATCTGGTCTCGGAACCAAAGCTGCGGGATCAACAGTCAGCTCCATCATGAACCCTACCGAGATCAACTCGGCAATCAAGGGTCTCGTTAACGGTTATGGCATCAACACCCTTACTTTGCCATACAAGACTTTCCAGGGTGCTACACAGACCGCTGGATACGTTGGTGCTGGTACGGACAAGTCGCAGTACAAGCTCTACCTCAGTGCTGGCATGCACGCCCGTGAGCGAGGTGGTCCCGATCAGCTCATTTACTGGATCTCCGACTTGCTTGCTGCCAACAAGGCCGGAACCGGTCTCACATACGGCAGGAAGACATACACCAACGCCCAGGTCAAGAGCGTTCTCGCTGCCGGTATCGTCTTCTTCCCTCTCGTCAACCCTGACGGAGTTGCCTACGATCAATCCTCTGGCTCCCTCTGGCGCAAGAACCGAAACACTCGTTCCGGCACAAGCGGCGCATCTGTCGGTGTCGATCTCAACCGTAACTTTGATTTCCTCTGGAACTTCAAGAAGTTCTTCGACCCCTCCACCTCGCCTGCTTCCACCTCGCCCAGCTCGGAGGCTTTTTACGGCACTGCCGCCGCATCTGAGCCTGAGACCAAGAACCACGTCAGCATCTACGACAGCTTCCCCAAGATTAGGTGGTTCATGGATATCCACTCTGCTACTGGTGACATTCTTTACAACTGGGGTGACGACGAGACGCAGTCCACAAACACCGCTATGAACTTCCTTAACAGTGCTTATGACGGAAAGAGAGGTCGTCTTGGCGACTCCACATACAAGGAATACATGCCCTCTGCCGATGTCACCGGCATCAAGAGCGTTGCCTCCAAGACGGCTGCTGCTAGTAAGTTGACCCTTTAGAACTTTTGCATAATATCCGAACTGACACTTGTATTCAGTGGCCGCTGTAGGTGGACGTTCATACTCATCCATGCAATCCGTTGGCCTCTACGCCACTTCCGGTGCCTCGGACGACTACGCCGCCAGCCGTTCGTACGCCAAATCCGGTGCTAACAAGGTCTTCGGGTGTAAGTTTTGATTCTTTTACCTTGCAGTGGATTTATGCTGACTTTGCACGCTTTCAGTCACCATGGAGTTTGGATACGCGACCAACTTTTACCCCACTCTCACCGAGTTCAACCAGAACATCCTTGACACCAATGCTGGTTTCATGGATTGGGCACTTGCTGCCATTGCTGTTGGAGTTAACTGAGGTGCGATATTGACGAAAGTGATGCTGAAATGATGTGGCGATGTGGCGTTTCTAAGGGCTCGGCGGAGAACCTGGTATGAGGATGATTTGACTTCTATGTAAATACCCTTGTCTGCATTTTCTATTTTGAAAGGATGAACAATAATCAATATTGCTACAATAAGAGTTTGCACATGTTGGAGGGTTTGGGAACTGGTCCGGCTTCGTGAGGTTTGAACACTCGAGTCAGTAATGGTTCCTTCAGATGAGAGATTATATCTTCATTATCGCACATGAAAACGTATAGCTCCTCTCCCAGATACTTCAAACTCCTATTTTTGATGAACCTCATGTTTTTTCATCATGTCCCGTGTATCTTCAACTACGAACTAGATAGCTCCACAAACATCGTGCTGACTAGAATGAGTCTGATGCCGTACTATGAAAAAGAGACTCTTTCAACGTTAAGTAGCTATATGCTAGAGGCAAGGCTATTCCCAAGCTCCACGTCTCTTTGGTCAATCTTTTCAGCTTTATTGGAAGCCTTCAACATGGATAAGTATTGAATAAGCGAACAGCGTCTCAGCCGCACTTTAGTTGTGCCTTTTTAGGCGGCGAGGCTGAAAAGTAGCCAATCGTACCTCAGCTACGCCGGCATTGCATGTACATAGCCCATTACTTTGCCCCACGGTAACTGTAACTTTGCAGTAGCCCAGCTTTCAGGCCGCCATCATGACCTTTCGCCGCCCACATCGTTACTGTCTCGCGTTCATACTACCACACCTGTGACGCACAATCAGCACAGCAGCATCGACAAATGGCTGGGAAACTGCCGCTGCCAAGTACACAGGAAACAGGTTCTCGAATGTCGCCTGCGCTAAACTTTGCGACACTGGCAAAGGCTATTGGACGCGTTACACAAGTTCTACAAGTAAGTAAGCATGCGAACATCCCTTGGCAGTGAACACTCGTCTTTCATAACAGAGCTAGACACCGCCAATAAATCAGAAAAAAGGATACGGTGATCGCTAACCCCCCAGCCAGCACCTCTGGACCGCCATAGAAACCCTCATAATCCGCATAGCAACACTCCCATACTACCGCCTATACCACTTCAACACCATCAATCCCCTCTGCAACCTCGCCTCCCTCACCTCATCCCCCACCCCAGACACCAAAAAACTCTTCTCCACACTATCAAGCTGGCGCACCAGAAAACTTAGCGAACTCCAATTTACTACTATCTCCGTAAGTCTCCTCTTTTTGCCCTCACCACCACCATCATCATCCAGTCCCGCAACATGTTACACGCCCCCTACCGAACTCACCAAAGAGGAGAAAAACATGTTAGACTTTACTACTTTTTTCTGATTTAATGATGAACGCAGTGCACCGTCCTCGCCGCCGCCGTCATCGGCGCCTTCTCATGGCCCACAGTCTCAACAGCGCACTGGCTCACCCCAGGCTTCTGGCATACCAGCTTGATTTTGTCGATACTCGGGATTTTGCTGTCGGCGTCTGAGATTACTGTTTTGAATTTATTGGGGCCGGTGAGGTATGCCGCCTCGTCCTCGCCCTCTCTCTTACCACCCACCTCCCAGTGCCCGCCCTCCTCCACACCTAGTAATGGTGGGGGTGTGTATGATGCAGCAATACAGAGGTATATGCCACTACTCCTCTCGCCCGTGACGGTAAAAGAGGATGCGGGCAGTGGTGGTGCGAAGCAACGCTACGTGCCCCGGCGCAAGATGGTGTTTATATGGCAAGCCCCGCTGATGTTCATGTCGTATTCCGTGTGCGCTTTTCTAGCTGGCCTGACGGTCTTGGTTGGTTTACCGGTTCTGAGGGGGGAGAAGAAGGGGGCGTGGGGGGATGAAGGGTGGAATGTACGTATGCTGCACTACTTTCATTTTCTTTCTTTCCATTTAATGTAGCTTTTGGTGGAACTAAGAAGGGGAAGAAGAAAGATGGAAGGTTCAACGCTAATTCTTATATGTGAGGGGCAGATCGCGGTCATGTACCTTACGACGTTTGGGGCTGGGCTTGTAGCGTTTGTGTACTGCTCATTTTGGGTATATCACTATGTGCATGTTGAGCATGATGGGGTTGAGCGCGAGGAGCATCGCGCGATGGGGCCTTGGGGGGCGTTTCCTGCTGGGTATGATTGAGGGCATTTTGGGAGAAGGAAGAATGGGTCTGTTTTCTTTGCCTATGCTATCTGCGAGGATGCAGGCACAGTGCACGATGTTCCACGTACTATCACACTTGGTTGTCTTTCGGTAAGAGCCATTCTGATTGTTAGTGTGTATTCTTGGTTGACCAGCTGTCTAGTCCCGTTAATTCAGCTTTTCGCCAAGGCCCTGATTGCTGGATCGCTAGTGTTTCTCTAAGTGCCGCTCTTCGAGCCATTTCACTGCCGTACCAGAGTAAGTGGTTTGAACTGATATCCATTCTTTCCTTCAGAAGATTCCCTTGCCATGTATTTATTTTCTTTTGATCTCACAGTACCGATACTAGCTCTTACGCCGATTTTCTTGACTTCCCCCGCTTGTAAGTATCGCCAGCTTTGCAGCGGTACTCTAAAGTCACTTACCACACATTCTCCTAGTCCCACATTGTTTTTCATCTCATCACTAGCGTCGCTTTTTCCTCCTCTTTAGTCCTCATCCGATACCGTGGCACACGAGAGTACGGTATAACAAAAAAACTGCCGGCGGAGTATCTATCAAAGAAACGCTAGTAATACCCGGTATATTCGATGCACCAGCACAGCCCTCTTCTCCCTGTATACGATACCGATTCATGAAATTCGTCCCCCAGTCCTCCAAGCCGATGTACTGACGTCACTGTGTTCTATCTTCGTCCTTCACAGCCCCCAGATAAACCCTGTACTCATCCGCCCTCTTCCAAGCGATGAACACGTAACACCAGCATAGCACTCTGCATCCCAAGATATCTGGGCATCCACTAGTCTTCCCGGCGCACCGTCAGCATACGTGCGTGTGTATAACTCGGTACGGAACTATCTGAAAGTAAGCAACAGCACAGATCAACTTCCCCGCATCCGAGACTTAAGAAAACAGTCTGGGCTTTTTATTGGCGCAGCTTGCTTTTTGCGTTGTTTTTTCCTTTCTTCCAATGCATCAAGTGGTCGTGCTCTTTTGCTGCACTATTGTCGTTACTGGAGACAAAGTTCTTTGATTGACGATCGCGGACTAGCATGAGAGACACGAACTTGATAGTATCCGCATTATTGGATGCGCTGGATTTTTTCAGCGTGTAGCTTCGTGAAGTTATCGAAAGACCATTGTACTTATTACTCGATCGCCTTTCAATTTTTCGGCATTTTTCTCGGCTCCGAGGGCATCCGTGTTCAGGTTTCTGCCATGTAGTACAGCCTCGCTTCTCGGCCCGTCTGACAGGAAATGTCACTGGAGCTTGGCCCATGCAATTCCGGACTTGCGGGGGGTGGAAAGTTGCGTAAGTAATTGGTAAATCCTTGGTAATCTTTTTCCTGGTTTCGCATTTCGTCATAATCATTATCATCACTAATTGAATGAATTGGGTGTGAAGGATTTCAGGTTCAGAGGTAAAGAACAAATTTTGTTGGGGTAGTCTATATGCAAAAAGTATATACATACACCTGGAAAAGAAAACATGTATATATGTACATTCAAGAAGTGAAGGGGGGGTATCTTCCAAACATCAAGCGATTTAGAGCTCGTCGCTGCCAACCCAGATGCTGGAGGCCTTCCAGTTAACAAACTCGGGGCCCATCTTCTTGATATCGGCGATACCGGTGTTGGCGGCGTCGTTGAGAAGCTCGTACCTGAGCATCTCGGCGGCCCTGGCGACACCCTCAGCTCCGTAGATGTTGGCGAACATGAAAGGCCTGCCAACACCGACGGCCTTTACGCCGAGAGAAAGGAGCTTCAGGATGTCAGTGCCGTATCGGACACCGCCGTCAGCGTAGACCTCGATTTTGTTGAAGATTGAAGGATCCTTCTTGTAGATCTCGAGGGCAACTTGGAGGGAAGAGGGCGATGTGTCGACTTGACGACCGCCGTGGTTGGAGAGGAAAATAGCCTTGACGCCGTTCTTGATGGCCTCCTCAGCATCCTCGACGGTCTGGATACCCTTGGGGATGATGGGAAGAGAGGTGAGGTTGGTAAGTTTGTGGTAAAGGTCCCAGGTGAGAAGGCTGAGGGACGAATCTGCGGATCCGACACTGTAGCGTGCAGCACGGTGCCTGATACCATCACCAGGGGAGTCGATGGTAAGGACAATAGCCTTGGCACCCATCTTCTCAATCTTCTGGAACAGCTTCGTGGTAGCTGACATGTCTTCGGTCAGGTAAACCTGTTGGAAGAGAACTTGCTCAGAGCCGTTAGGGCGAGCAGCGTAGATTTCGTCCATGGTCTTTGATGAGAAGAGCGAGGGCATGTAGAGGATGTTGGCCTTCGCGGCACCCTGGACAAGACCCACTTCACCTTCAGCGTTGGCATATCCACCACGAGCACATGGGGCGATGAAGAAAGGAGCTGAGAAGTTATGGCCAAGGATGGTTGTTGGGATAGAGGCTGCAACATTGGTGATGTCGCGTAGAACACGTGGGCGAAGTCGATAGCGAGCAAAGACTTCAAGGTTGTTGCGGTAAGACCACTCGCCAGCAGCACCGTTGCGGTAGTACGTGTAGGACGAGACGTTCATGAAGTTACGACCGACCCATTGGAAATCGGGCAGTCCGACGAGGGACTTGAGAGGAGGGACGGTTTTATTAGCGACGAAGGCAGCAAGTTGCTGGTCAATGCCAGTGTCAGGTTCGTCCAAAAAGGGCGCGGCAGCAAGAGCGCAAGTAGCAAAGGTAATGAATGAAAAACGCATCTTGGGCGATGAAGTCAGTGAGTGTGAGAGAGTTGGTGATTAACTGCGAGGTAATAGTTCAGTGGAAGCAGGCTCAAGCCATTTATATTTCATCACATAGGCCTCCAAGTCGGTAAGATTATTGCAGGGGCGACTGAGAAAAAAGGCTCGACTGGGTTGCATGTACCGGATAACAGGCTACATCCCACATCTTGGTCCGATCCCTGTCTCTTCATCATGTGTGTGCCATAGATTGGTGCAAGTGGTATAGTCTGCCAAGATAGCGTTTTGAAACCAATATGTGCGTCATCCTAGAAGGGCCGTCAAGGTGTTTGTACATGTTAGCGGTCCTGACCAAAGTCTAAGGTGGACCAGGTTATCTCCCATGGGAGCTGCCAAGATGTTCCAGAGGCAGCTGCATCGACGCTCGTGTTTAGCATGAATTAGCTGCCCCAGAGGGCTGCAACGGTATCGGTCCGAAGGCGCTTATGACAGGTCTGTCAGTTCAGGCACGCGGGAGATCCACCCCAAAAGTTGGTCTCCAGCGGAACGGCGCCATGATGCGGGGATGATTGGTCCGCTTGGGTAAAAACATTGCGCAAATGTCGAGATTGCTGAGCCGGGGTGTGGGCGGGACATGACAAAAGCGTCACTTGCTCCGGCCTGAATTCCATGTAATCCTCCTTCCTGCTTAACTCGACAACCAAGCGATAAACGGCCGTTATGCGCCGTACGGTACAAACCCGGTTCGATGGATTTTGCGGGATGCGCGTATGTATGAACATACAAAGTATGTCGGTAAGTAGTTGGGCGCTATGCAGGCAGTGCAGAGCACAAGACGCCAACTACTTGCGCACAGTCGCGGGTTCAAGCGATTCGTTTCATGCAAATGGGCAAGCTGTAGCGCAGCGACGACTGTTTGGTTGGACGGGCGGTATTTGCTGTTTCAGAAACTGAGCCGCATTTACCTGGTGTGAATCAGATAACGTGGTCACTGCAAACAGCAGCTGTGTCCGAGGTAAAGCCTAGTCAACTTTGAGCGCTATCATCGCGTGGGTTCCTAGCTCGGGGGCGGAGGTCCGTCATTCACCTGTCAGCAAAAAGGTCACAGCGGATCCGGCCGAGCGTTTGGGCTGAAGGGTTTTACACGTTATGAAGGACAGCTTGGTAGGTTACGAGTAACGATTCGAAGCGAGCGGGAGATGCTACGATGCTTGGCACCCCGCATATGTCAGCACTCTTTTCCAACCCGCGCACGCGCACGCGCGTGCGCCCGCCTGGACAGCTGCTTCTCTCTCATCATCTTACTCAAACATCGCGAGTAACTACACAGTTGGAAGTCATAAACACCTCCGAGCGACGTAAACGTGCATGGCGCAGGGAACTCTGCAGGGGTACGGAGGACTTGTCAAAATCACTCCAGAAACATCGGCAGTCCGCCTGCCGCTTCTCCACATCATCCGCCGAGATATGTCCTTATCGAACATGTACTGTGTAAACTGTGTGTACGTATCTGTGTACACTACTACATGTTCACCTCTGCACCGTTCCTGGACTGTCCGGAACCGCCGTGTGGCAACACTCCTCGTATCCGACCTGCCTTTACCGGATGACTTTGGTCTGATTGGGACAAGTACTCACTCTTGTGGCGTTAACGTATAATACAATAACAGAGAATGGCCGCCGGTTGCGGCCAAGTACCCTGTATTTTTTTCCGATGTCAATTTGGCCGAGCAATGTACCTCAAGCCAGTTGCGCTCAAGTCGTCCCACGCACTTCTCAATTGATCCGCATCTTCCGGCTTCGTTTTTCTTTTTCTTTCTTTTTCGCTAGCCTTACTATGAGAAACGTTGAGGAGACCGAGAAAAGCATTGAACAGTAATATGATGAACACCGACAAGCACGGGTTCTTTGCAGAATGCGGGGAGGTACGCCTAATCAGACGCAGGGGCATTTATTAGATCATGTGTTCGCCAACACCACCGTTTTCGCATTGCCATAACACTACGCATAATGGCAAGCATCCTCCGCGTGGCTGCATGCCATGCGTCTCCAGTTTTTCTGAATGCGCGTCGGACAACAGACAAGGCCATAGCCCTCGTCAAGCAGGCAGCCTCGAACAAGGCTAACTTGGTCGTTTTCCCCGAAACCTACATATCTGCTTTCCC